CGTGTGCTCTTCCGATCTAAACTTTTTATAGCAATGCTTATTATTCTTGAGTTTCCGACAAAATATTTTGATGATGCTATAACAAAAATTATTTTCAGGTTTTTTTTTGGTCTTCCAGCAAAATCGTTCTTTCCGTGCATCTTTTGAAATGCTTTATTATCTTATTGATAACCTTACTAATTTGTAAAAAAAGTATTACGTTCATTTTAGATGTAATTTGCGGAAAATTTGAGGATAAAATTTTATTTATAATTTTATATGTTACATATTTTAACGTAAATGTGCTTATATATATTTTTCTAATTCTACAAATGTTTTTCATGTTAAACAATGCATATAATTGTAAAAAATTTTATTCTGAATTTTGTGATATAAATTATCAGATCATCTAAAATGGAACACAAAACTTTAGCTTATTCATATGATATTTTTGATAAAAAAAATTTATTACATAATTATAACATGAATATGATAATTAAACAAGAACGATCAATATAAAAGGCCAGAAAGAAGAATGAATAAAAAACGAATGTCACAATATTAATTTAAAAAATATAAAAGTTTTACCATATGCTGCTGTAAAAAAAATATATCAAAGGTATATCAATAGACTGATATGATTAAATCTACTTTCCTAACGCGCGCTTTGAGCAAATACTATAAGTGCAAATGCAATTTAATTACGTTATATTTAATCAGAACTTATCAATAATAAAACTGTTATCTTGTGTCAGACTCACTATCGTGAGTGATTGCTTCATGGTAAGAACTTCAACAGCCTTTTATCATCTTCGCTGACAAAACGAGAAAATCTCTAAAGTGCCCGTACATTTCCGGCGGGGTCGCGACAATCAGGATGATCTAAAAAATCCCCCGCGATCCCACTCCGTGGCAGAAATCTTTCCCGACTCGTGCCTCCGCCTGGATTGGCCGTCGCGGAAAAGCGACGTCGCGGGAAAAGCTGTGGATTGGCCATAGGGCGAGGCTTGCGTCGTGACGGAAGCGTCGCGTCCGATCGGACGTAGAACATCCAAAGCTCCACCTACCTCAGAACGCGCGGTATTCGCACGTACAAGCTCGCTCGCAGGAGAGCTCGGGATCCGAGAGGGTGGGTGACGAAAAGCATCACCGGAGCTCGTTAAGGAGAGGAGAGAAAGATCATTTCTAAGACACGCAGTGAGAGAGCGATCGATAGCTGATAAGAGCATCGTTGGAATCTGATAAGCGTGGAGCTTCATCTCTCGTTGAACGGAGACGGAAAGCCGTTTCGAGTGAGATCATCTACGTGGAAGTAGAGATTTTTCGCAAAACAGAAAGAGAAACGAGAGAGAAGAGAGAGGGGCGAAGAGAAGGGTGAGAAGAGGGCGAAACGTCTCTTAGGTGGGGGCTGATCGAGTAAAAGAGGGAGGCTCTTCTCGAGGGAGGAAGGGAGTGCTGCGGGTTGAGTGTGGTAATTCGAAAAATAAGTCTCCGCGGGCGACAAGCACACTTGACCGAAGCACACTCGAATCGGAAGGGTCGAGCACTCGGGAATAACAATTAATAACGCCAGTCGGCCTACCAGCGATCTCTCTGGCTGCTCGAGGGTCTGCAGGGATTATGTGACCGCGGAAGGCGCCTAGCATTCGTCGGCCGAGCCTCCATTCCAACGTGTCGACGGACAAGCGAGAATGACAGCATGCTGCGTGACTTGAGGAAATTCGACGTATAATCTCTCGATTTTTTTTTCCCCGGCAAGTTTGTAAAGGTGAAAGAAGTCCAAGTTTGTTTTTCCGTGAAGAAAAGACAAGGTGGTGAACTTGCACGATGAGAAATTGTAACATGTGACGCGACGAGTTTTCTAGAGTGTGTGGACAATTAATAATGGTTATAACAATGAAGAAGATCGAGGAGGAAGAGAAGATCTGAAGAGGAGAGACGTCGAGTGCGCAGAAAGAACTGTTTCGAGACAGCTTTCGTCGTGATCGTCGCGTGGAAGAGAACAGTAGCAGAGCACGGAGTGATGGAGGACGACAAGCGCAGCGAGGCCTCGCCGAAACCCCTTCAACCGACCCCCTTCAGTATCGCTGACATCCTGAGTCGACGAAATTCTGGCGCGGATTCAAAGAGATGCGATCTGGAGAAAATCCAGGCCACCGTTTCCATGCCGATGAGAAGACATAATCGCGAGTACGAGCGCGTGGAGAGCGAGCAGCTTGACGGAAGCTACGATCACGATCAGGTGATTCACTATCCGAGATTGCCCACCCCAGAGCTGAACATGGCGCACGAGCTGGATCTCTTGAGGAGAAACCTGGCGCAAGCGAATTTATCAAATTTCGGGGGCATTCCGCATTTGACCCAAGGGACCTTCAAGAATCACTTCGACACTCTCGGGAACCTGACGGCGTATCAGCCTGTCAAAGAACCGGTGGAGACTTCTCATAGACAGCAGGACGAAGCCTTGGACATGAGTAAAAATAAATATCTAGGTATGTGATGCTATCCGCATGCATAAATCATCATTCCACAAGTTTGCAAACAAAAAGCGTAACGCGAATTCCTTTTCACCCTCGGGCGAAACGTTAAAGTAGTATCATACATTTGAATTTTTCGTCATTAACTCTGCAATACTGAATTAAGTAAAGTAATAATTTGTGCATAAGTGGCAATTGATAGGCGATTTTAATTATTAGATGGTTACATGTATGTGACTACGAAGCAGAGTTTTCTTCAAAAAACTGGGAGTTATATCAAACAACTGTGTGATAAATGTCAATGATTTATCCTTAATCTCATAAAGTCTCGAGGGAAACAAAATAATTTTTTTCGGAAAAGAAATTAAACGCTAAACACGTAATATGTTGCGAGCGAGAACAATATCTTTGAGATTCTGGAAGATGGTGTTGGAGCCGGAGGATCTTGTATCGGGCACGAGGATGCGGACTTAAGAGGTCATTTGAGCAGATACGCGCGTAACAGGCGAGCTCTTTTCAAGGGTTTTTAAAGTTAACCCGAGCGCAGATAACGTAATTGAATGTAATTTTAGTAGCATAAGTGGCACTCGACTCGGCAGACGTCACGAGTACCGGCTACTTCTTGCACTTGTTCGATCTCTGGCCACACTCTGTTCCCTCTGTGTCTCGAGCACGCAAGGATTCGCAGATTACCTCCGTTTAGATCAAAACCGTTTTAGATCAAGGTTACGATCGCTAACCATTTCCGAGTAAACGATTGTGATTGATTTATTCGTGACAGATGTAGGCGCTAGGTGTTCCATGTAGGTTAGCAATAATTCTTAGTTAATCGTTTGCATCCGTTAGCACTATATATCCGTTAAGCTATGTGTTATACGTAAATATTAAATATTGCTATTTTATATTGCAATTATTATATGTTTGCAATATTTTATATTTAATTAATTGTTTAGCACCATATGTACGTTGCTCTATGTATTACACGCAGAAGATAACGATAGTTTACCTTTGCAATTTACTCTTCGTGTCCATTTTTTCATAATACTCGCCCTCGTTATGGATACGAAAGTATCGAATTACCTTGGTCGAATAGTGTTCTTAGTACAAGGGTAAACAGATACTCTCCCTCGCATTGACTGCTTTATGAAATCAATCATGATTAACAGTATTCATAATAGTAATGTATACGAATAGGATTTCCATTTTATATTTCGTTTTATAATCATAAAAGTTAGAGACATTTTTCAACATTTGGGATATAAAATTTGAATCGTTATTGACTCTAATCACTAATTGATTTCTTTATTTTGGACAATAAATTATATATATTAAATTATGATAAAATTGGATATGCATTTTATAATCACTTTATTTCGTACGTATAATCTGCACGTGTTGTATTGGAAGGAAGAAAATGATTTAGAAAAGTCATCAAGAAAATACGATTCACAATAATTTCAAGATACGTTCAGAAAAAAATGTATTGGAGATCATAAAATTTCATAGGCAGATCGTGTAAAGATAACATGAAATATACAGTAATTAATGTTACGAAGAAGCTTCTACTCTTGAGCGAAGAATTGTCACCTGAAACCGCACGATAGCATATTGTTTGCAGCGGCGCCGAGGGCGAAGAGGTAGACACGAGCTGGCACCGATTCAAGGTGCACTCAGAAAATTACGAGTCCACTTTCGAGGGGAAATCTCTCCAGTCATTTAATATGATAATGGATAGTCGAAACAATCGGTGTTGTCGCGCGACAAACTGTATGTTCTTAACCACTTATTACGGTAATAACTGAGAAAATCCTTCGCTGATTTTCACGTCCTTTTCCGTCGCGACGGACGGAGCCGGAGAGCGTTTTAGTGGTCCCGAAGGATCATCGATGTAATCAGAGTCAGTCGACGCCACTTGCTCGCTCTGGAACTGAACTCTCGATATAGACTCGATATAAACATCCATAGGATGTTTGACGAGCACCGAAGGATGGACGCATTAGCCGGACGAGATGGCATCTAGTCGACGTCGAAAGTGATCCAATATAGATCTCTCTAAATGCTCCGCGTCTCCTGCTGACCACCGACGATAAACATTGACGTAGGATGAGCGTTTCGAGCGTGAAATAATTATGACACTGTTGGAGAACTTTGCGATTTATTCGCGAATATTCTCTGCATGTGTGATTTAGCAAACATCAAAATTTTTTCTGTATTAATTAAAATAAAAGCAGTTCTTCTTTTTTAACACGATATTTTGTTGATAAATTATTGACTCTAAAAGAATCATTATTTCTAAAGATAACATGTTTTAGATATCAAAATATTAATTTTTTATTAACCATATAAAGTTTATAATATTTCCGATATTGGGATAATCAATCTTTACCGGGGAAAATGCTCGGAGCAAAAATTTTAGCTTTACATCAAAATAAACTTGAAAAAAAATTAATTTCATTTAAAGTTTACTGCTTTTATACAGTTTTAAATGTAAGAGTCAAGATTTACTATTTTTATAGATTGACAGGTTTAAATGTATATAAATGTACTATTTTTATGTTTTAAATGTCTCTCTCTCTCTCTCTCTCTCTCTCCAATCAATACGGATAAAAAAAATCTGCAAGTATATTTTAAAATTAAAACGCGGACTATTGTTTGTTCAGCGATGTAATTAATTTTTATTATCTTGTTTAAAAAGTTATATATAATTTTTTTTGTTCATAATGGAGAGTATATATCGCAAAGTAGCGGATCAAGCTCGTTGCCAAGTAGAAGAAGCTAGTCTGATCTGCAATACGATTGTACTCTAGTGCCACTGGTTAAACTTAGAGGAGAATTACCGCGGAACAGAAGCGTAAACATGTCGGAGTAGCGAGTACATGTGTTAATGTTTGTACGAGACATCAAAAGCAACGAGGTTCTCTCTCGCTCTTTCTCTCTCCGATCGTTCACCGTCTCTATAGCTGCTCGCTGATGGTTACTCCGACTTTCGGGCTAAACGATTGCTTTACGGTATAGTTGCAGATTCTCGCGCAAATCTAAATATTTATCCGCAAACGAATTTGAACGGCAAGCTTGCGTTATTCGAAAAATGAGTTTATCCCACCGTTTGTCGATATAAAAGCTTAAAAGCTCTGTTCTTTTAATAAACCATAACGATTTATAGATGCACATCAGAATACATTTGATAAAATCAAAATTATAATAAAAACTACTTAATTTTTTACTCTTTGCTTCTATTAATTCAAGTTTATCCATACAGCAACAGATTGCAGTTTGTAAAAAAGAAATTCGTTCATCTTACAGACGAGGCGGAGGACGATGCATACGAATCGCAAAATTCAGGCCAAAGTTTGCAGAACAGAAAAAAGCGCAGTAGGGCGGCATTCTCGCATGCGCAAGTCTATGAACTGGAAAGAAGATTTGCCGCTCAAAAATATCTGTCAGGTCCAGAAAGGGCGGATTTAGCGCGCGGTTTAAAACTGACGGAGACGCAAGTCAAGATTTGGTTTCAGAATCGACGGTGCAGTCTTTCATCTATGCTACATTATTATATTTTCTAGATTTAATATAAAAACTTCTGAAAATATAACTTTCGAAAAGTAAACTCCATTTTGCTACGAAATATTTTTCTCTTTCCAATTATGAAATTTCGTTAACTATCGTTAATGACTTTAGGTATAAGACCAAGCGGCGCCAACAGCAGGAATTGGGCGCCCTCGTAAACTCTGGAAGCGCCAGGCGCGTGGCTGTACGCGTCCTGGTACATCCGGACGAACATCTGAGGGGATTGCCTCTTCGTGGTTCCGGGCAACTTCCCGGGCAAATGTCGAGCCCGCAGATTCATCCCGCGAACAAAGCGCTCGGTGGTTTCCCGTATTATTGCCTGCCGTATCCGCTACTCTGCCCGCCCCTACATGCCACTCATGTTCAGGTACAAAACCCGATCGCATCCGATTTCGATCCTAACCAAATCTCGAAAATCAAGGACGAGAAGTGAACGATAGACTGCTCTCGGAGTACCGACTATTGTTTCATATCTAAACGAAGATGATGGTACTTCAAGAGAATGATGCAAAATATCATCATTTAGAGTATGATGATACATTTAGATAGACGTATTGTGACGAGTTGAGAAGACTTTTTCTGGAGAATTTATGATTTTGTTTGAGAAATGAATTGAAGGACTTGAAATTAATTGAAGGCAACACTATGCTCAATTACATGAAAAGTGTATATATACGTGAAATTTTAAAATTGTATTTATTTGTTATCTATATGGCTTCATATCTTGCATTTCTTAGAAAATTAAAAATACTCACAAAAGGTGTTTAAAATTTGATTATACTAAATGTTATTAATAATTTATGACGCTGTTTAATAGGTCAATTGTAAAATATGCTCCAATTAAACACATTATTTCCAAGTCTTTCAATTGCATTTCGATCTATATGCACTTCGTGTGTATAAAAAATTCTTTCTTCAGAATTACATTAACATGCAATACATAAATAACTGGATTTATCAATCATCTCGTAGCTGAGATCATCGCATGCGTATTTATTGTAATTCAATGACGATATAAAAACAATCGTGTAAATTAGCCTGTAAATAAATGTATAAAATACAAAATATCGAATTTCCTGCATTTTCTTTTGTTATCTAAAATACCAGACTTTAAACTTGAAACGAAATAGAAAAAATTAAAGTTTAAATTATTAAGCTTATAATGCTTCTATTAGCTTTCTATTAATCTTTCGATGTTTTTAAACTTCAAAGTTTCATATCTTGAAAAAAATAATGATGTTGCATAACTATTATATTATAAGATGCAAAATAGTGCTTTTTATCTTAATTGAGAGAATATGGTCTGACAAATAAAAATTGCGGAGCACAATTTTTACAGTAAAAATGAAAAATGTGTTCTTCGAATTACTGATAAAAAATACGTGCAATTAATAGCGGAACATGTGCAATGTAAAATATAAAATAAAATAAATATTTAATGCTAATTAAATTTGTTTAACATGCGCCACGCGTGTACCATGTTCAAACTCAATTTATTGTTAAGTACAAATGCGTAAATGTCTTTAAAATATATGTATATCGACCAGAATCCATCGTGAATGTTTTTCTTTTCTCAATTTTCCTTTCCCCAGAATTCCTCCAATTTCGAAAAGAAATAAATACAAAGTTGCAGGTAGAAAATGGGTTGGCAATATTATAACTGACTTTCCCATAAGAGTTTTAATAGTCTGTGTCTGGGTGGGCCCAACAGACATCAGATATGTTTATTCAGACGCGGAGACGAGCAGGCTTAACCGACGGATGAGAAAAAACCTAGATCTGACACTCATCTGTTGTAAACAAAAGTGTTACATTGCCCTCGCCGAAGCGTCTTTTACATTCCGCCCTGTAAATCCTGCGGGACGGTCTCCGAATGCTAAGGTACTAGTAGTTCTTAATTTATTTGTTTAGACTTCTTAAGTTTTAATTGCACACGTACACACAATAATAATAATCACAGTTATCATAAAATATTTAACAAGCTACAGCTCAAATATATTATTCTTTTACCAAAACGCCAAATATGTGAAAAACATGATGTCTAGATATATATATATATATCTATATATATACCTAGATATGTGTAAAGGTATCTAATTAAATGCTTTATAAAAAAATAAGTAAAAATAACATAAATAAAATAATAAATAAAATTTAAAAAATAATAATTTTGTGCACAGATAATTATATTAATAAAAAAGAAAATTTAAACGGAAATGGATTCCTTAGTTTAAGAAACAAAATTGTGAGAAAAGGGACTGTTAGAAGTCGGCGCGGTACTCTCTAAATTTTCTGGAGTGAAATCTCCAAAAGAGTGAAAATTCACTCCAGAAAATTTAGAGAATAAGTAGTGCGCATTTGCGCTCATTGTAACTTTCGATTCGATCGAAATTATATTGATGGTTTAAAACCGTATAAGCTTGGATGTCGATCGCACGATCCTAAGCCTTTCCATCCGGCTACAGTGTTGAAGATATTAACATCCCTAACAGCTTGGATTGACGATGAGCAGTTCAAATCTCGAACGATACGAATAATGCCCTGAGATGACAATTAGAATTGCATTATACACTGAGGATGGCTCGAACGGAGCCGAAACATTTATAAGATTTAATCTATTGCTTATTAAAATTATATTGATGGTTTAAAATCGTATATATATATTTGCTACACTACTTATCGATTCCTAACAGCCCCTTTCTTCACAATTTTATATTAGTAAAAGAAATATAAATTTTGGCAAGTAACAGAAAAACTTTCGGATCGTTTATCATTTATTTGCTTCAAAATTCATATTTTTGGCGTTTCTGAGTATCAACAAACTATAGTGGTCGGCACAACTTTCGTGACGCAAGCCGCAAATTATTACGATGAGTTTTGCATGGCACTAACAGCGACTGTGCATCGACACAAGGCCTCGTTTAGCGCAAGAGCATTATGGCTTTACAATGTTTAGAACTGTTCTAAACGAAGCAATAATGGACTGCAGAAGCGACTATAAAGTCTATACATCCTAACTGATTTTCCGTCGCGTTTAAATCATGAATACAGATTACGAATAGAAGTCGTCGCATTATAATTGTTGCAATCAGCATAAAATCTTTTGATGCAAATAAATAAAAATTGTTTCAGTAATGCTACAAGTTCCCGCTTAGCTTATGATATAGCACTAAAAATAGTTACATAAATAAAATAAATTAAGTACAAAACGCATTCAATTTAATATATATTTCTATTAATAAAACAAACAATATAAAAAATTTTACTCTCAAATTCATTCTCTATTTTCCATTCAAAAAATTAAAATTATAATGCTATGAAAATATTATTGTATAGGGCAATGTTTCTTATTAATGGGACGTTTATCAAACATTTAACTGTAATATAAAATCTATATTGGAATCTAAAATATATATTAGTATGGAATACGACAAACTATTTTCAATTCTTGATTCAGGAATTTGCTATCGACGCGACGGTAACAAGCTCACAATTTGAAGCAGAAGTACGTTCGTTCGAGTGCACCACTGATGGACTTGTCTCGTAAAACGAGAAAGGAACGATTTAACGCTCAATCAACCGACGAAAGCTAATTTTCATTAGCTGTTAATAGCGCAAGACCACCCTCTCCCTTGATCACCCTATACGGCTCTACGCCTTAACCCCTCGCTACACCGTTCTCCAAGCGCTCGTCTTTCGTTTGTTACGAGAAAGCTTTGCGTGTTAAATGAACGGTATGGAATAGAAACTTGTAAAGTTAATACAAAATCTATTCGTTAAATAACTAAGTACATACTATAACTCAGTAATAAGATATATATGTCTCAGTAATAAGATATAATATATTTGAGAGTTATTATTTTAACATACAAAAATATGAAAAAATTCTTTTTAAAAAATTTTTTAAACTTTTCTATCATAAAACATTACTATCATTTTTTAAATGCTAGAATAAAACATTTTAATTTTTTAAATTATTTAAATTTAATGTAATTTTTTACATTAAAAAGACATACAAATCCTACTGTTTCTTATAATAAAAATATTTCTATAATAAAAATATTATTTATTACAGTTTTCTATATTGTGTGTAATTATTGATGCTCTCTATAATTGTTGCTACTGACAAGAGTATATCATCTCGATTTCACTGTCCTAAAATAAGTTTTTTAATATTTTCTCAAGAGAACAAGAATTTAAACTAATTGTAAGTTTAATTTTTTTATTTTAAGAATTCGTTTTAATATTCGAAAAATAAAAGTTAAATAAAAAAACATAGAAATAATTGTTCAATATTTTTGACTAAATATTCTCTACATTTCAATGAATTCGTAGGTAAGTATAGAGTCAGATGTACTGCAAAAAAGAACTAAAGCGGGATCAATTTGAATCTCATTTAAAAAAATCGTACAAAGAGGACAATTCAGTCGCTCGAGGCTACATAGCAGCCATTATCAATTTTGCACGAACGATTTGCGTGCACGATAAAAAATTCTGACTTTTCAAGCGCCTGCGATATCTCTTACAATGGATGTAAAACGAATGACCAAATTTAAAAGTATAATTCAGACTTTTTTCTACGTAAAGCATGACTTAGCAATATTTTATGGAATCTCTCTTAAAGTTCTTTAAGAGAGATAAATTTTTTAAGACGGATTATTAAAAGACATATCGAAAATGTAAACAACCTGTAACTCGTCGAAAACAAAAAAGCTGTAGAGATACAGGCTCTCTTTACTTTCGTGTGTAAAACAAGTGCACGATGTAAATCTGAGATTTCGCCATCCCATCAAAGTAATATAAACGGAATTGCCGGTTCCAAGTTTGAGATTTCAGTCGTTACTTTCGTCTCTGTCGTCACTTTTTCTTCTACCTCTCTTATATACCATTCTTCCGACTTCTGACACGCGTTTCAATTGGGGTGGTTGCCAAGGAAACCTAGGAGCCGGAGTGTCACATGGACTATTGAAGACGTTAAAGGGGACACCTCTCCATTTCGCCGAAAACATTCGGAACGCGACGTTAGAAACGAAATACAATTTACGAGAATGTGATTTTCTAAATATTTAAATCACGCATATTACTTTACATTTCTAGATAAATCACATTTTTCTTTTTTGTAAGGTCAAGTGATATCATTGGAAACTTAATAATTTTCTGTTATTCAAAAATTAAAAAAATTATTATAAAAATATTAAAAAATTGATTAATCACAAGACATTAAAAACTTAACATTTTAAATTACTTCTATTTTAAATTATTTCTATTTTAACTAACAATTTCTAAAACATTCTTTAAAAAAAGTAATAACAAAAAACAAATCACAAAAAAAACTCGGATGTTCTCTTATTAAATCAGAAGTAAAATAATACTATAATATATATTATTAATTTTCTAACTTAGCACGCATTCTTATTTACAAAGGAATGGTCGAAACTGTCCCTCACCGATTTTAATGGGCTTTAAATGTTTTTCACCCAAAAAATCATAATGAAGAAATCCCTTATTTTCAAGAGATTTAAGGGATTTCAACCCCCTTAAAAAGAAAGTCATTTTCAAGAAATTTGGGGGGGTTTCAATAAAAAAGGAAACTCTAAATCTCTTAAAAATAAAGGATTTTTTATTATTATTTTTTGATGAAAAAACATATCTAAAGCCCATCAAAGTAAAAAAACAATGATTTCGACCGTTTCCTTGTTAGCCTCCTAGGCGAAAATATTTCTTTGTCTCGATCATTGATGTCTGCTCTACTTTGTAGATTTATGGAAGTAGGAGAAAAAAATCAGCCCGAGTACATCACGCGGATCATCAAGCGAGTAACGACGCTTGAACTCTACCAAGAAGAACTTGTCGAGCGAACTACGGAGGAAACCGTTTCCTCCGCTTTTCCGGCATTTCAAAGAAGCAATTTAGTGATTTTTCGTGGCGAAGCGCCGTCGAGGAAAATTGGCGTACGAGCGGCCAATCAGCGGTGTTTCATGCAGCCACCACGACTCAAAGAAATTCTTTCAAATATTTCATAGATTTCTTGTACTTACAAACTACGAGGACAGCTTACTACCAGTACCTTTACTAGTGACATTATTCTTCGTACTCTGAAATGAAAAAAAAGCGTTGCTTATGTTAGTTCGATCACAAGTTACACGTGTAAAGATGTAGTTTAATTGCATAAATACAAATAGCAGAGTTATTAATAAACTTTGTAAAGAAAACATAAATCATCTTTAAAATAATGAATCATAAAATCATGATAAACAATTATATTGAGAATCCCGCTAATGTTTCGTTGATTTAAACGTACAATAAACATGTAATGTTTCTTAAGAAAAATTGAGATTTATTACATAAAGAAATATACATAATATACATTTTGACATTATATAGAAAAATACATATAGATAGTTTAATACTTTGGAAATATATATTCTGTGCAAAATATAGATTGCAGGACATGTCAATAGTAAAAAATGTCAACTGCGGAAAATGACTGTTTCATAAGCTGGTAAATCAGATGTTTAGACTTGAACTTCTGAGGGACGCGATTTCAGACGATCCCTTGATCTCAGCGCTGTAGTACAAGCGACAAACGGTTATAGTTTCACATATGATAAAGCAGAGTTCTCTACATAATAAACATTACTCCTTTTTGAACAAATTGTTTATGATTACGACTTTTAATAAATTTTATAAAAGTTATATTATTTTTTTTATTAAAAAGCATTTTCAATAATTTAGCTACACGTTTATAAATTATTAAGGTAAAGACTGTACAAAGTAAGCATCATCGAAGAAGAATTTTTTAAATTACATTTTGAGTAATTTTAATAAAAATTTTTTAATATTTGCATAATTAAAAAAATACCTGAAAATTATAACACGAAAAAAAAATGAAGTATCTCAGATTTCCAGATAAATGTGTCATTCTTTAATCTGCTGCAATTAATAAATCAGTAATATTCCAGCTAAAGTAGCGCAATATGATTTTTAATACAAAATTAGGTATTTATGTCAATATTTCATCTGTTTTCATTTTATGGTCTATTTTATTATTACAAAGTGCAACAGTTTTTTCCTGGTCCACCATTTTTTTTTTCTGCTGAAGGATGATTAATGATCCGTATGCAAAAAAGTTCCCCATTTATAACTAAAATCGTCTGATTTGTGGACATTGGCCCTTTTATGCATATGCTCATCTATTTGGACAGTGTCGCGTGCTTTCTCTCTTGGGACCTCGCGTAAACGTACGTTCCATCCCGCGGTCCCCCTTTGGCTTACAAGCAAATAGGATCGAATTTCTATGTTGAGCGTTTCGTGATTGATTATCTGAATATATGATATCGTAATGGAACCGATCACAGGACATACATAGATATACCGGTGCATGTGGAGTGATGCATCGATGCATCGACGTTATAAGTGTGAGGAACGCGAGAGGCGCATTTGATGCTCGAAAAGATTAGTTTATTTAACCTCCAAAAATTAATTCGAGTTTCAACAATCTAATCCTGAATACGTGGGAGAAATTAAAATTATACGATTTATTAAGAAATTCGCCTACTTTCACTTTCGTGTTTTTCGATGCAAGAGAAGATTTTGTCAAAATCTTTATCACTCTTGTTATATAATTCTTTTATTTTTTCTTTGCGTAGACGAGAACTCGGTACATTATGTGGCTTAATTTATCTCACCAGGTTGAAATCTGTCGCAGGTACAGCCATGCAGGTGCATGTCTGGAAACGGGAGTGCGGTGCTGGTTGCACTTCGTTTAGATAGATACAAGATACAATGTGGCCATGAGTCTTATATAAAATTAACAGTGACATTCTTATCAGCTTGTTCCCATGGCCCTTTATGGCACCAGTAGCACCATGAATGCGATTACACTGATGTAAATCGTCTATGTGGGCAGCACTTGACTGCCAGATGACCCGTCGTGTTCGCGCGATAACCCAAAAGGCGCCCATGGCTTCGCTCAAGCTGTCAGAACTCACCTATTTATAAATGCCATTTCGCCATATTTCCGTATCGAACCGCGAACTCACAAGAGGCATCTGGATCAAATTTAATTTGGTGGAAATCAATATTGATCGTAAATACACGGGGCATTCATGTAAATGCATGTATGTATTGTAGTAAATACGCCATATAAATAATATGCATTTGACTTTTACAAATATTAATTGTAATAACAATTTATTAATGCAATGACATAATAGTTGAAGATACAATCAAATGATAGACAATAATAAATGCATTTGCAAAGCCGAGACGGTAATAGCTGATGATTCGGCGCCTAATACACAAAATTTAATAAAAGTTGAATGAATTAAAATCATTATTTCGGTATATTTTAGCATATTTTATTATAATTTTATTCTTATTTTACGCAATTCTATGATAAAATTATTCTTTATGAGTGAATTTTTGTTTAATATAAAAATTATATTTATCCATTTCAAAATAGAATAAAAATTTAATCGGTACTAACATGCATGATTTTAAACCTTGTTCCTCTCATAAAATATCCTTGAAATAATTATAAAAAAGTCAAATTAATTATTCTATCGTAAAATTACACATCTCATATTGATGTAAAATTTTATTTGAAAGTCAAGTTAAAGTAATTCTCTAAATATAATATATACAAAAAAACTACAACACTTCTTATATTTGTATTACATGTTTAATAGAAAACTGAACATTTCTCGTAACGTGTTGATCATATACACAATTCTGTTCCTATTCAGCAAAAGGCCATCTGAAGGAAATTAATTTATTGCACAACTAGCGTCTGCACTTGAAAGTCAGTGGAAAAAAACTTCCCGAGGCACATGACATACGCGGAAAGGTGCTCGATGTTTCCGCAAAGGCCACTTGAAGCAATTTCCGCTCTCTTATACGGCGCGTTACTATTTCAAAGGAAAAATCTTAGCCAACTAAAAAACAGCTGCCAATATCGTAAGCTTATTCTCTAGATAGCGTATTTCTAGTTTAGCGGTAATCGCTTACATTTGTATACATATATGATAATTAACGGATATATCTTTGGTTAATTACTTTGGCGTAGTATTTCTTTTGCCAACGTTGACCATCCTTTGCCGAATTTCAACGATTTGATTTAACATCGAAATATTAACTTAATTTAAAATTTTAGATAAATGGATATAAAGAATGAATATCCTTTTTGTTATGTTACAAGTATAAAAATATTATACACAATAATATAAAAAGATAAAAATATAATTCATTCTCGAAGGTTAAATTATTTTTTACCACTCATCGTATCGATCCTAAATTAACCAATAATCGATATTGATAATTGAATTGATAGTAAAAATTAAATATTTATTGATAAATTCTTTCCAGTAACACCTAATTAATTGAAAAGAATTGAAGCGACAACTTAATTAATTGCTAAATCTAAGTTGTTCTTATCAATAGAACCACTGTAGATCCAAGAGTAGAAACTGCATTGCGATATTAATTTATTCAGAACTTTCGCGTCACCTACCACAGTCGCTGCAGATTTTGATCCATAGGTACCTGCTCCATGTAATTCACATACTGCATTTGGTAATTGGTGGGAGCGAGATAATTCGAAAACCCGTACTCGCCATTAGAGACATCCATAGACATCCGCCTATCAGTCATAAGCTGTTTGCTGTCGGACTGAACAGTCTTCACGTCTGGATACGATACGGCTTCGTTGACGTTCGTGCACGTCTTGAACTCCGTCTTGATTAATCGATTGCAATCGTGCACATTCGGCGGTGCTTCCGCCACGAAATTGCCCCTGTACTCTGGAACGTGCTGCTGCCTGTCCGCCATGTCGTTCAGGCTTGATCTTCCGGGCATATCCGAATTTACTTCCGGTTTGTACTGCGGGCTGATATTGGAGTCAATCCTCACCTCGCTCGAGTTGGACCTGAAGTCAGGACTGATGCGTATCTCATTTGTCCTAAAGTCCGTCTGTATCGGAGCGCTCAAATCCGATCGGATATTTGGCCAATAAGGTGCGTTGTAGGACTCTTGTACGTTGGGTTTACCATCCTTGATGAGGATCGGTACGGTAATTTTTTTCAAGGGTTGATTCTTCATGTTCTGTGCCTGCAGCTTCTCGGCGTCCTCGATCCGGGCGCGTTTGTTCTTGTACCGTCGATTCTGGAACCAAATCTTCACTTGAGTGCTGGTTAGCTTCAGTGTCTGGGCCAACATTTCTCTCTCAGGTGCGCTCAGATATCTCTGCTGCTTGAAACGCTGCTCCAATTCATAAACTTGTGTCTGCGAAATGGATTATGGGGTTATTTATTACTTTGCACTTTGTACCTTTTAAAGTTTATTTTAAACATATTAATCATGATTTTTTACAAAAAATAATTTTAAATTTTTGGAATTAAATCTGTAAATAAAAAAATCATTTTTGTAAAATTATTTTATTAAATTTGAATAAACTTGTAATAATTATCAAAGAGAAAAAAAATCAAACCTACTTGCGAGAACAACACTCTTGGTTTCCGCTTCGTTCTTTTACCAGATTGGCTTTTGCGCAGTTCTGTTTTGCTGGACGTAACAATGTTACCTAAAAATAATTTAGTGCATATTAATTACTAGATAATTTATAATAATTAATAATTTTATCGATAAATATAAAACTCGGAATTATCAAAAGAAAACACGGTCGTGTCTCAACATTAAAGAGTACGCGCGAGATCGGATCGGGTCTATTTAAAATATACGAGAAATAATTCTAGTAAAACATATCTCAGAAATAATTTTTAAATTAATACACATTTTGAAAATTTAAAAATAAATTTTACTTCTCTCATTATTCTTTAACGCAATATTTGTTTCTTGTAAATTAGCACTATATAATGTTAGAAAAAAATGCAAGTATTTGTTGCAATAATTTGTGCATAAACCACAATACGAAAAATCGTAGTAGTAAATTTTTTATCATTTTCACAATTACTTTCGTTAAATAAAAAATATCATGGAAGAACAATATCTTGTTACAAACTTTTATAATTCCGTGTTATAAAATTATTATTAAATGATATTCATAATATCATAAATAACATACTTTTATATCAAACTCTTATAACAAAATAATATTTACCGTCTTCAGTGATAGAAGTTTCTTGGTACGGCGGTACCACCTGACTCAATTGGTGAACATGATTGAGATCCGAGTAATGTTGATAACTGGGCATCGGCTGATCCTTAAATTTATCCATTTCCCAATTGTTTTCGGGGACAACGTACGAATAATATTCTTGGTGCACATGTTGTTGAGCTTGATTTTGATGATGTGCGTAACAATCCATGACGATAAGTTGCTGATCTTCGCTGAGAATATCACGAACACTGAATGGAGTTGACACCGAAGAGGACAACATTCTAAAGCATTTTTCGAGTTTCGATTAAGTCACTCGCCATGAGTCGTGAACGTCACTTCGTCAGAAAAAATTATTGACACATTGCATCTCTCTTTAAGCGAGTCTCATCCTTTTAATCTCAATAAAAGTCAGCAATTAACGTTTTGCTGTCACTTTGCAGAGCTTGGAAACTCGTTTGGAAAATCGCGATTTAATTGTTTAATTGTATTCTGACAGTTAACTCCTTAAATGTCAATTTAAAATAAATGTTGAATAAAAATTAATCTTTCCATAGAAATCTTGATAGTTTCGCTAATTGGCAAACTTGATTATAAATTCATATATACAACCAAGAGTCTTAAATTCACGCGCGGAAGTCTCGATAATGCGCTCACGTGAACTGTCAAATTTGATTACGAGATCGTGATGGAAATTTGCACGAAAGTCTTAGTAGTTCATTCGCGATGTTATCAATCATCGAAATTTAAAGTCACACGACGAGACAAACACATCACTGTGTCCAAACGATATACGCAATACATGAGTATCTGTAAAATTTGCGAGAATAGCGAACAGTCCTTTATCGATGCACTATCCCTGTTTCGGGGGATGGTCACGGTTGAGTGGTCGGGTCGGAGGGCAGACGTATAATGTGACTTGGTCTTGCAAGGGAGTCAAGTGTTGGTCCCGTCGCACAGGAACGTCATGGCGATACACTGATGTGAGTGTGAGGATGCGTTGGAGTGCGAGTGAAGATTTTCACCACTACAATCGCGTACAATTTTAACGGCGACTCAATATATTGAGATTTTCATAGAGCAATTGATTTTGGCGAATGTCACATACAGGTATTTTAAATTATTATAACATTGTTTTAAATTGTTGCAACATTATTTTTAAGTTAACATTAAAAAATATTAATTCTTTAAATAATTTCTAAATATACTTTTATAATAAATCTTATAAATACTAAGAATTTATATGACAATTTACGTATAGTTTTAGATACCACAGATTATTAACACTTAAAAGTGATTCAATATAATTACGAAAATTTTAAATAGATAAAAATTTACCTATACCTTACTTAGAAAGTTTTTAAAAAATTTTTTTGCATAATGTAGAATACAGGATTTTAATTTTATATAGATTTCTATTTCAAAAAAAATCTCGCAAAATGTCCTAAAAATAAAATATTCTAATTATAATTCAAATTGGTTATAATTCAATCAATCTTAATTGGTTCATCAAAAAACTTTTGATCTCAAATTCTTCTTGATAGAAAATCACATAAAAAAGCACATCCAAAGCTGAGAACATGGCACAACTAGCGACATATGATAATTATTAACATCGAAAGTATCTGAATAATTAAAAAGACCAGCAAAATATCTTTTTACGTCGCGACAGCCATAGCCGTTGGTATCGCAAGGCGGAGGAGAGTACGAAAGACCCGCCTATATGAGATGAATTCGACCAATCAAAACATGCTGCGAGTCGCGTTTCTAAAAGCAACGATTAAACGATCATTTGCGCAATACGTTCCCTCTCTCGTTCTCTCTCGATTAATCATCATCGTTTTTCCTGGAAGTAGCGCGCAGTGTAATTAATTGGCATTTTTTCTGGACCGTCGCGTATACTCTCGGATCGCGATAAAACTCACTGTAAATTAACACAAATTAAAGTAGAATTAATAGAATAGATGTAATAGTATACATCATATCTCATTGTACAAACGGAGAAATCAAATAAATCTCATTAAATAAACAACTCGTAAATTTAACGATATTTGTTCTTTCATATTTTCTAAACTTACTACTTATTGTAAAATTTTTAAAAATATAGTTACATTTGCAATATAATCGCGGATTTCAATAATACAGAGCATTTGCTCTATATTTCTCTAACTAAACTAACAATAAGTTGAGCTAAAAGACAAAAAAAACCTATATAATTAATGACAAAATAAAAAATATTTATCGGATGACCCAAAATAATGATAGATCATTAAAAACAAGGTGAATATTAAAAAAAAATAGAGAAATTTATTTTCCGTGGATACTCTCCGTCGGCAATTGTCGGCTAACACTAAGGAACGGAAAAGACTCAAATTGAAGTGATTTCTGTTTTAACAGAAAACGTGAAACAACCCGCCGTCTAGACATCCAGATACACGCAATTGTCTGGACCACTCACGGAAAAACGACAAAAGTCTCGTTCGATGCGCTCGAACGCAGAAACGCACAGTCGAGCTGACCTCTTCAAGCATAATAGAGAGCATCCTCATCTGCAGTCCTGCAAGTCTGCAAGCTCGGATGTGCAGACAACCTTAAACACGTTTTTCGGATTGTCGCTGTTCATATACTTGTCACAGTGTTTTTTTTTATATACAACAATATAAATCAAAGCATATTTTTTTATTCATTCAATATAATGCTTGTATTTTCAGCACATTATATTTAACATCTAACTCACAAATGTAAAACGCATAAAACATATTAACAATTTACATTAATATAAATTCAAATAATTTGTTATACGTTATTGAGTTTATATTTAATGTCGCTATGATCAAAGTAATTTATAAAACATGAAGTTTATGAAAGTTAGTATTTTAGTCAATTTCGCATCTATGTTAATACATGTGTATAACTTTGATACAAGTAATATATTTTTCATGATTTGTTGTCCCATTGAAAAATAAGTTAATTTGTCATAAAAGCTGATTAAATATTTTTAGCAAAAAATTGACTATTTTTATAATTTTTACCTCCTGGCAAACTTAAAGAAACTAATTTATTTATTTACTAATATTATTCAAATATCTGATGAAGCGATATTATAAAGCTAATTATGTTACTATCTATATCAAAAGCCTGAATGAAAAGAGGAAATTTACGATAATTATATTGTTGACACCATCCGAAGTCCTTCCCTTGCGTAATGGGTCGGAAAATTAGCTTTTCTCAGGTTCACATATCAGTGGGTTCTACCTGTAAGACCTATTTTTTCCGGCCGATTACAACGATGTTCATTTGGTATTGTCTCGTAATGTGTAGCAGTTATCGATATAGTGACAAGAAAAAGAGCAGATTCCAAAAATGCAGACGGCTCACCATGGGCGGCATAGGACCCCCCACATGCTTGGCCAATACACGCCACCGTGCGAGATTTTTCTATAAACTATACACGGATAGGGCAGCCGAGGCCGCATACAGCTATTTAGATGCGAGACGGCAGCACAAAGGGCCCATTTATGCGGCAACACGGACGGATCCGTCTTGCAACTGGACACCGCATTATGCCGAGATCTCTTTTCACGACGTCAGTTTAGCGTGCGAGCAATTAAAAGTGCATTGATTCTTATTTTGAATACCTGATTATTCGGTTGTCAAATTCCGACGTATTATAGAATAACTTTATGCAGATTTAAATAATGTAAATGTCTCGTTCTTTTGATCAGCTATCGTAATTAAAATTCGATAATTAAATCTTATGATAAAATTTAACAATTTTTCAAAATATCATATCTATGTAAATAATCGTTCGATAAACCGGGATTTTATTGGATTTTTCACTAAATCGAAAAAAAATTGTGCATAAATCGTTCTATTGGAATAAATTGTTCATTCACATAAACAGGATATTTTTAATTCTTATATATTCTAATTCTGATAAAACAAAAATTTTTATCGGAATAAATTTTATGAGATTAAATCAATAATTTTGTTATTAATAACGATTAACATATTTATTACGTTAAAATTATAATTTTGTGCTACGAGAAATTTACATTCCTGTGAAAATGAAATATCCGTTGCATTGTTTTTTTGCACAAGAAACAGTGCAGCGTTATTTGTAACCAAATTTAAAAAAAGCAAAAGTTTAGTTAAAAAATGAGGACGTTCACACGGCGCCTCCGCAGGACTCTCCAGACGCCGGCGCTTCTTTCCCACAGTTAAGAAGGCGCCTGCCTTGCTATCTTTTGGCGCCTACCACGCATGAATCCTAACGTATGTCCACGCACGAGCCGCTCTTGTGCGTGTATATATAATTACACGCGTGACTAACAGGGCGCATTAATAAGATCGCGTCAGTTAACAAGAAGACTTTATGGGAATAATCATTTTATGATATTTCCTATATTGACGTTCATCGCGTGCGCTTGATTATTTTCATTTTTTTTCTTACGTCATATAATTTTCATTTTAGTAGTTTTTCAACAAAAAAAAATCGCTGCGCAAAATATCGCAAAAATATTGATACTACAATCCGACGTTTAAATACAAATGTTGAAAAGCATTATAAAATAAAATTGAAAAAATGTATATAAAATTTTGTTATTAAAACTGTGACGTCTTTTTTAGAATATAATCACTCAAATGTTCGACGATCGTTCCAATCGATAGAGTTTTTAATCTTTCGATTTTAAAAACACAATTGCATTAAAAATACTGACAGATCAAATTATAATAAATAATTATATATGTGTATATAAGTTGTGGCAGCAATATATATATGTATATGTCTAAATACGTTGCACTAAGTTCGAGTTTTGAGGGGGCGATTTTTCGAATTCCAGCCACGGGCGCGTCAAGGGTTCCGGGCGCCTCTAGAAGCGCGTCTGGATTATGTTAGTTTCGACTCGTCGAAGTCGCGCCGTCGAAAAGGGCCGAGGAGAATCTCCTTCTCCTCCTGTTACGCAGGGAAAAATGCATTGTTTTGTTTGCGCTTTAACTCCGTTACCCGAGAGTCCCGACACTGACAGCGAAACCACCCTGTTAAAATTATGACACGCTCCTCCTCTGTTCCGTGTCAGATGTCACGGTAACGAAACAATTAGCTTTCATTCATTAAAAAGTGACATTTTTTTTTCAATATGCTTAAGACCCTCCCACCATTAAGCATCCGGAATTTAATAACGCTTGTGAGATAATTCTTCAATATTTAAAAAAAAAAAAAAAAAAATTTAATGCAAATCACTGACACGTAATGTATACCTTTTATTTTTTTATTATTATT